CGCGTGGGATGCAATGGACGACTTCGCCGGGCGATGAGCAGCATCCAGGTAGGGGGGTGTGGAGCGGTCATCACTGAACTCTTCGAGGCCGGCGTCATCCGCCCACCGACGGCGCTTACAGTGCCCCCTCGGGGAGCTGCTCGGGTAGTATGGGGCCACGGTTGGTGAGAGGGAGGACCTAGGGGTGGCTGCTGGCGCCGCGGCGGCATCCGAGGACTCACAGGCCTAGAAGGCTCGGATGAGGCGGATCTGGCCAGATCAACAATAGTAGGTGGCGTGACGTACACAACCAGCGTTCCCTGCACTGTCCGGCGCCGTCGACGGCAGGTGGGCCCAGGACCCGGACCTGATGGTCTGCGGGGCCATCTAGCTCGTCGGCCCTGGCTCCCGCGGCGGGTGGCCAGCGTGACGTGACATCGGACCGCCTACTCCGTAGGCCTCGGCGTCAGGGCCGCGCCGCGGAGGGGACACGCAAGGGTGGGGGGAAGGAGGGAAGGGAGGGGAGCCGGAGGCGGCCGCCATGGCCGAGGCGACAGCCTGTGCCGGCGCCGACGATGGCAGGTCGGCGACGGGGAGGAGACCAATGTGGACGAGAGGTCGCGCATGGCTGGCAGTAGGTGGCTCGCGGGGGAGTGGGAGGGGGCAAGGAGGGGGAGGCAGGTGTCGGTGCCGGAGAGGCAGCTGGCGCCGACGACGGCGATGAGGAGGCGGGGCTAGGGTTGCAAGTGCGCCATCAGGCAATGGCTCACATGTAGGGGGGGTGTTGTTATGATGAGTAGGAGGAATGCTTTCACATGGAATTCCAAGTATGTCAATTTTTTTTTATGGAAAAGAAGTATGTCAATGAAAATGTGAAGAAAAACAGATGCCAACTGAAGTTGCATCAGCATAAATAAAGTCGCCTAGACTTTAATAATAACGGTTTGGAAGATGGGAAGCAAGTATTTCAACGTTAACACGTTTTATGAAATAAATATGAATCACAGATTGTTTTCCCTTAGAAAGGGAAAAACACATTGGGAGGCTGCGACAACAATAGTTTGTTAAGCTATATAAGAACAGAAATCAAAATACCTTGTTGCCTTTAACACATTATTACAAGCTAGATCCGGTACATGCATTATTGTACCAATATATTTTCCAAGTAGCCTACTGCTATTGCACGAGCACCATCGCTCAATGCCTAATGTTAACAATCTTCAGTCTTCTGTGCTGTGTTAATGAGCCATGAAGCAGAAAACAAAGATAGCAAAAACGTCAACGATAATTAGAGCGGTCTGCAGAAAAGGTTTGAACTAGTCATTAGTTAAATTCTTCAAGAAAACGTAATTAAAATCCGCATAGAATAGGATTAAAATACAAATAGAAAATAATAATCGGATGAAACAACAGAAGACCACAAACAACCAACTTTTACAGAAGATACTATAAATGAAAAGGTCGTCGATAAATAATGGTCTAAAATGATTAATTTACTATATTATTATTTGTATATGTTGTTTTTCACACAAGAAACGGAAAGAAGATCGACAAGGAACTAACTTGCAGTAGTCCGCTAGGAATTGGATGGGCGTGGTACATTAAAAGGGTGAAAACGATCTGATTAAATTCAATTTTGAGCTTAAATTTGACTATGGTCAGATTTTGTTTGCCATTAAACTGTTCTTGACTATTGCACTAAAAGGTTTATCAAGAAAGTTTTAACCAATGTCTCCCATAGACTGATTTTCTCTTTACTCCCCTTCTTTTGATTTTTTTATTTGAAACAGAAAATCCCCTATTCCCCTAGGGCATGCATGAACGATTTTTTTTTTTTTTTTACAAAAAAAGAGGGCAATGCAGGATGTTCTTCCAGGGCCCATTAGCAGCTTTTCAGAGTTTCTTAAAAAAAACAACCAGAACATATATACGTACGCTTCCAAAGCCCGTCCAGAAGTTACAACAGGCATCGCTGTCGCACAGCCTCGACCCCGCCGGCGTAGGCTCCGGGAGCGGCGCGCCGCCCTTCGCTCGAGCCGGAGTCGGAGCCGGTGCAAGCGGAGCCGGCTCATCGCCCGCCCGCTCGTCGTTGCACAACAGCGCCATCATGTGATGATCCTCCCGCGCGGACGTCGTCGTCGTCAGGACGTCGGCGCGTCGTCCGTGCCAGCTGCTGCGGAGACGACGGAGCTCACGCCACCCTCGCCGACCGCATGCTGGACGCCGACGATGCGCGTGTGGACAGCGGAGAAGGCCTCCAGCTTTTGCCTCGATTGCCTATATAATGCCCGACCGGCGACCGGCAGGCGGCGGAGTCGATCACAGCTCGGATTCGGAGTCTCCGATCCATCACGTGACTCATCGACTGCTAGCTCGACAGGGGCCCACATGCAGGGAGAGAGAGGGCTGGACATTTGTTGGCTCGGAAACGGTTTTGGTAGCAGCACTGCACACATCGGCTTCGATTTCTTCTCCCTGCCGTCCTTATTCTCACGTCTACTTTACCTTTACGTGCCTCTTCTGTCCCAATTCCAAACTAATTAGAGAATACTTAGTTCGCAACTTTAACGAGTTCTCATAAAAAAATATATTAACACATATATACAGGTTCAAATTAGTGCATTATCAAGACGTATTTCGTGAACAATTTAGTGTCCAGGTGTACGAGCTTAGTCACACCTGGCACAATACCTGAAACAAAGCCATTAGCTAAAAGGTTAGGCAACAACTTCAGGTTTCATCCGACAGGAGGGAGAACACTGAACACTGGATGAACCTTGGATTCTCACTTCAGTCTCTCACGAAAGCTGAAGCTATAGCTAGTAGTATTAGCAACAACAGGCATCAGTCTCAGCCTCTCATGAATCTGAATGATTTTTATTCGTGCTCAAACTGAACCCGATAATCATCAGTCGGAACAAGGCAAGGCTAGCTAATATGCGACGCCACTCAGGCTCAGCAGATTTTACCGGAGCCGCCGGCTGCCCTTCACGCTGCTGCTGCCATGCATTGGCGGGGTCAGAAGAGATGGCCTTGCCAAGCTTCCATCAGCAGATGGTTTGGCGAAGAAATGGAGGCAATTTCGCGCCTGATGCTAAATTCAGATTTCAGAGACGGACTTGTATCATGTCCAGGCGGCTGATGCCTAAATTCAGATTTGAGAGACGGGTTGTTGATAATTCCGTGCAGCAGCGATAAGAAATCTTGCCCCCATTTCCTTCTGATATCATCAGCACTGCAAGTCTGCAACTCATGTCAAGGTCAGATTTCAGAGACGGCATGCTTTAGTCATGTACTAGCTTGTATCATGTCAAGGCGCCTGATGCTTGTTGATAATTCCGTGCAGCAGCAAGAAGAAATCTTCCCCCATTTCCTTCTGATATCATCGGCACTGCAAGTCTGGAACTCATGTTAAGGTCAGATTTCAGAGACGGCATGCTTTAGTCCTGTAGCTTGTAGGTATCATCGTCAGACAGCACTACACAACAAATACGGCTGGACAAGTCATTTGTTATGGATCCCATGGTCACTAAACTTTCGGAAATGCTTCGTGTCTTGCGTCCGATGCACTGCATAAACGTCGGACGGCTTTTTCATCCCCGCCACTTGCTCTCGCCCGCATGTATATTTCAAAAGAAAACTTATCCCTTCGCTTCATCCTCCCCATCCTTACCCCTTCTGCGCTCCCCATCCCCTGTTGTAACGCACCAATGCCTGCCATCCTCCCCCACCCCGGCGTCCTCACCGGGAGCCCCCAATGCCCGCAGATCCAGCGGCCCTCACCCCTACCCTGGCAAGATCCATGGAGCACGAGCGAGATCCACTCGCCTCCGGCGAGATCCATGGAGGTGGCGCGACGGTGTTGCAGGATAGTTGGCGGCTCTCCCCCACCCCGGCAACCGAGCTCTCCCCACCTCAGCGCCCATGGCGCTCCCCGCCCCCCATCCCCCACCGTCGCCGCCGAGTCAAGCCCGGTGCCGGTGGCGGTGGTGGTGGTGGTGTTCGCGTGCGCCGCTGGTGCTGGTGTTGGGTGGTGCTCGTGCGCAGCCGCTCACCGTCGGCTCCCACCCCGTCGGTCAGAATCGACCAGCCCAGGCTTCTCTCTCCCTATGTTTGCAAATATATGTTTCAATTGTTTCAAACGTTTCAGAGGCATGTTGCAATTGTTTCATATGGATGTTGCAAAAGTAGATTGGGGATGTTGCATATGTTGCAAGTGTTTCAGAGGCATGTTGCAAGCGTTTGTTCAAACTATTTCATCTGCTTCCAGACGTATGTTGCAAGCGCTTTGATCTGGATGTTGCATATGTTTTCACACATATGTTGCAACAGTATGTTCCAAAATGTTTCATCTGTTTCAGTCTTATGTTGCAGCAAGTGTTTTCATGTTACAAGTTGCAAGTGTTCTATTTAGACGTTGCATATGTTTTCACACATATGTTACAAGTGCATATTCCAAATGATTCATCTCTTTCAGACGTATGTTGTATTCAAGTGTTTCATGTTGCACGTGTTTCTGTTGGGGAATGGGGCGCGGTGAGCTGGTGGCCGGCGGACGTGGCGTGCGACACGCTGGGGGCCGGTGGTCGGGGGCACAATGGGGTAGGGGTGCGCCTACGGGGGCGGGGCAAACAAATGGGGATGAGGGCAGGGTGAACGGATGGGGATGGGGGCAGGGTGTGCAAATGGGGGCGGGTTAGGCATCGGGGTGAGCTTGTTAGGCGTGCGGACGAGCGTCCGATGGAATTCATCCTCATCGGACGTCCGTGCGCTAGCATTTCCCCCAAAATTTAGATCACTTTAACTCTTTGTGAGGCTCCAAACATGTGGTCTAAAATTGTATCTAAGGGCTTTAGTTCATTAGACCACAACTGGCCTAAAGTTTAGTTTAGACCATGGAATCCAAATCGGGCCTTAATATTCTCCAACGACAAGTATATAAAGAAACATGTTTATATAGATGAAAAATAATGTGCCGTTTGCAATACAGATTTATTCCTCCACATCTGCACCCAGCAAATTTACATGACAAAGTTCGTCAATACTTTCTGAACCAAATGCTCTCCGTACACAACCTTTTCGTACTTGGAAGCACCGCCGGTTTTCTCCCGGCAGAACTCAACAGGCTCTATTGCAGCATCAAAGTTTGACTGCACCATTGGTTTCAGGGGAGGAAATGAGTAAGACAGTAACCATGTTGACATGAAGTTACGAACGCACACTTGTGTGTGTGAGAGAGAGAGAGAGAGCATGTGCGTACCTCATAGAAGAACGCAACAGATACACGGTAACGAGGGGAATTGTTGACAACTCTGTGAAGTGTGGGCTGATATATTCCATTTGTCCAAACCTGAACCCAGAAGGATTACATATAAGGGTCTGATGTTGTGAAACAATCAGATGCAAATAAATGAGCAAAGAAGCAAGTAAAGAAAAAACCTTCAGCATGTCACCAATGTTACAAACAAAGGTTCCGGGAATTGGTGTTGCATAGATCCACTCACCAGAGCGATTTTGCACCTGATAAAACACCAAAGAATTTACACAGTTTTTCGTGGGTTTCACCCAGTAAAGATCTAATTCCTAGAATGGGAAGATAGGTCATAGGATGCATAAAACAAACTTGAAGATGCAGAGTGAAAAGTATAGTAGCATCTCAAGAGTGATTATCAAATCAAGCTATCATCTTGGGTACTAATTCTGTTCTCTTATTAGCATAACAGAAGAAACTGGACAGACAGTTTAAGAACTGGTGCAGAGAAAAGGAGGCATAAAGAGTAACATGTGATGTGATGAGTAAATACAAGATATGCATGAGACAGAAGAAACAAATACCTCAAGGGCACATATGTCATCATCCTGGTTAACCAGTGTTAGAAGTCCTGCATAACCAAATGGGGAAACGATCTTAAGATTTTGAGAATAGCCTCCACCAATCTTTGGAAACAATAACAAATATCGAGAAAACATGTGGCTTCCTTAAGAGGCAAGTAGGCAACAAAATCATGGTATTGTGTTAACGGGATAATAGTAGCCTATATTGATCACAAGTTGTCATCGTCCACAGTTTCACATATGGAATTTTTTTTTCGCAATAAAAATTCTTTGGAGAGATGTACGAACCATAATCTGTATGAGCTCCACTGGATTTGTCATATAATGCATGGAACACAAAAGAAAAGCAGTGAGAGCAAGTAAACATAATTGCCAGGACAAACTACAAAATAGCAATGGCTGACATTTACTGATTACCAGCCAGTATCAGTGCGCTGCTCTTCAGGAATATCTACTGGATAACCAATCAACCTTAACACCCAGAAAGGATCTCCAGCTGTTTCCCCTTCAAAAGCATCGATCGCCCCTCCCAAAGCCAAGGCTATACCTCGCATTATCTTTCTTGAAATATCTGTAACGAAAAATGGCTTAATGAACACTGTTGGTGATGAACGAAGATGAATGTTTAGAGTAGGCTGAGAAGTGGACCTCTACATAAGTTGATATAGTTTTCCAGCAGTACTTCAAAATTTGATGGGTATTCTGGCCTGTATGAAAGGCAAGTGATTAGTTACTTCAGTAGAAACAGCATATCTTTTTAGACTATAGGAGTGATATGAATTTAGTAGCCGCTTATAGGAAAATCATCTATTGATATTTGATACAGCTATTGTTTCAGTACTACTCCATCTGACGAATGGTGAAGAAAATCTGCTTGACAGATGGAACGTAGCGTGTCAATGCTTACTAAGTTATATGGTAAGGCATGTTTGCACTTTGCACTTAGTTCATCATACATTGGTATTTTAAAAAAATAAAATAAAGATGTATGTGTAAGCTCATTTTATATCTTCCTATTTTCAATTTTTAATTCACAAGACCAGGCTCGACTTAAACATATTTTTCAAGAGATGCAGACATTTACGATGCTTCAAGATGTACCTTGAGAACAGAGATGAAGTTGGAATTTGGAAACATACCATAAGTTAGATCCTTCCATTGGTTTAGCGAGATCTCCATATTTGCCAGGTTTAATAGGAGCATAGCACTGCCATATTTGTTCTCAGGGTTTAGCTCTGAACAGCTCAAAGCACAACATGGAAACAAAAAGACAAAATAAACTTACATCGATTGCTTCATGCATATCAGGCTTACCCTTGGTAATATTCTCCCCTAATCTTTGATACCCTCTAAAAATAAATAGTCAGAAATTTCCCAAAGACCAAACATAGAACCAGAAAGTAACAGGACATGTTTAAGCAACCACACCTATATCCACTCTGAGGTGTCATCTTAATTTTCAATTTTTCCTCATAAGGAAGCTGAAAGAATTTGTGGGTTACATTCCTGACTTCCCTCATCAGCGACTCGTCAACACCATGGCCTTTCTGTTAACATCATACATGCAGCATTTTCCTGGGTTAGCTTTTACAATAACAGATTGTTTAAAGATTCAGCTTTTTTTTTAACTGAACAAAAAAGAAAAGCCAACTGTGCATATGCACCTATGGCAAGACATGGTATGGTATGAACATCCCGTAATTTACAAGATCCTACTGAAGTAATCCAGCACATACCTCCTACATTGTTAATGCTAAACATCCACATTTTTATATCAAACAGTCTACATAAACATGCTTTGCTGATAAAAAAAAATCAAACTGGACTGTTCGCTATCACAAAGTTGACAAGTCACTGTTTCTGGTCTTTGTTTCAATGTTGAAATACATCTGCATCGTTATTCGTTAGTGAAAAGCAACATACCCCAAGTCCCCAAAGGCCCCAGCTGATGTGATTAGCTTAGAGATTTGAGGTGGGTTTGCTGCTATCAGAGAGTCATCGAGTGATTACCACATAGAAGAATCCGGCCTCCTTGCAAGCATCGTCCAGCAACCGGACAACCTGCAGCAAATCCTTGTCGTTGGCCATGCTTGGATCATCAATCTTTTCGACAAGCGGGCTGATATCTGGCAATGGTAGGAACGAAGACACTCGTTATAAAATCGAGAGCTGGAAGCACAAAGAGAAGGCGAAAGACACAAGCTGCTGCATCTACTGAAGCGAGCGGGAGTCAAGTATATGAATCAAATCCTCGAGGAGCTGCGTCCCTTCGCTTGCAGAAGTTACTAGTACTGCTGCGGCAGGAGGCGCTGACTCTGAAGCCTGATGCCCCGCGGCATGGAACATTCAGCCCAAGCGGGCATCTCAGATTCTTGAGGTTGAGGATGGGAGGAAGGTGTTACAGAACGATGGAGGCGGAAATGCGGGGAACGAAATTTGGGTGCCTCAGCGCAGAGCAGAATCTGATCCGGATACCCCGAATCTTGAATCTTTGAAGATAGAAATCGCATCCAGAGAGCAAATGGAATCAATTGAAGAATTAATTAAGGCGTACCGATCAAGGGGATCGATTTGAAGTCGGAACCCATGGTGCGGACTGCAGAGAGAGAGAGGAGAGGGAGATTTGGAGATAAGCGACGACGCTGATCGTGGGAGCGAGCGGCGATGGCTGGCAGTGGCAACACTCCCGGTGCGGTTAGCAAGGAGTGGGAGCAAATTGCGTGACGGCTTGTGAACAATTCTCAAGGAGTAGCCCTATTTTGCCTCAATCAATTATGTGGTGTGGTGTGACGCAGGAGTAGTTTGTTGCGTTCTGCAGTTTCGTCGCTGCCAAAAAGCAGTCACCGGAAGCGGCACGTTTAACAAATTGCACTCTCAGGCTCCCAACGCTCCACGGTGTTGTGCTGCCCTTCATGTCATCCTGATCCAGTAGCTTCGCAGCCTGTCAGGGTGCTTGGAGAGGCATCCATTGCTCGATCTGACAAAAGTTCAGAGCATCCATTTAAACGTGAGTTGGAAACAAAATCGAGAGGCCCTATCACGCATTTGTCAGAAATTCATGTCCTTGGTACCAAAAGGCGAGATAGAGCCATTTTCGCTTCACTGAAAAGGCACGAATGATTTGTTGTGAGATAAAAATACTGTTCATTCGCTGAAAAAGTACGGCTCATAAGACAAGCAAATAGGAGCAATAAAGGTGTGTGGGTTAACGGACTTGTATTCCTGCGTTGTTGCTGTCCTCACTTCGACCTCTTAGACGTTAGATTGAATCTGTTATTTATGCGGTAGGGCTTGATTGAGGACGTCCGTCCGGACGAACCGACCTCGACCTTCCCGTGCCGCCCGTCCGTGCCACACGCCCCCGCCTGCGCATCGCAATCTGCCGCCGCAGCCCGACACCGGACGTTGTCTCCCGGTGTCAAGTGGCTCGCTCCCCCTCCGAGTGTGTTTTCCTTCTCCATCCATTATCACGTCCTAGACCTAGCTAGAGGCTAGTGCTTGGACCGGTGTACCCTAGGAGCTGAGTGCTAGGTGCGGTGGCCGGCGGGGCCTACCGAAGCGTGGTGCCGTAGGCAGGATCCAGTTATCCAAGGCCACTGCCGAGGTCCATTGTGACAGAACCGCCTAATTTATACAAGATCAAGTACGGTTGTCCCCGCTAACACGTTGACACACCCATACTTTCACTCATATAAACCCGGTAGTCTGCCGAGTGTCCCGAAAAACCTCGGTAAATCAACATCACAACCAAGATCGCGTGATTAAGCAAATACACATCACATACATCGGGTTGCGGAAATAATATTACAAAGGGGTTAACAAATAATAGTACAAGTTTGGGTTTCAAAACCGCTTAGTGAAAACAACATAGCTTTCAAATGATTACATTAATATAAGTTCCAAATATATTGCTAGCATGGTGACATCATCCGACAAAAGCATATAGATGAGAAGTAAGTATAGAATCACCGAGCCCACCGGTGGTTAGCCACCATCATCAACAGGTCGAGAACATCACCTGCAACAAGGTGGGATAAACCCTGAGTACTCGAATGTACTCAGCCAGACTTACCCGTCTTAAACCAAAATAAAACGACATCAAGGATTATGCATGGCTTTCTTTAGTGGGCTAGCTGACTTGTTTGCGAAAAGCATAAGCTATCATGAAGAAACCATTTTAAGTACTTTGCATCATCTTTATTATGACCTATCCATCTAGGTAAGCACCTATACTATAGCAATCACTTGATTAACCAATAACATCTAGTTACCAATTTAGATTTAGCATATCACATACCATCCAGATAACCATCATTGTTCCATAATAATTACTACGATGCCGTAACTCGAGTCAAGTGCTCACTATCCAGGAGCGATGGCGATTCGAATCGATTCCTAACCAGCTGGTGATTTATTCCTTACACAACCCTCACTCACCCGCTAAAGTGAGATATTGATCACCGAGTCAAGTATCCAGAATCTCGAGTTTGCAAGAACCACATGTACCAATAGAACCGATCGCACTTTGGTCTTATCATCTCGCCCCGTGTCCTACCACACCTTTCCCGACACGGTCGCTGCGGGCAATCTACTCGGCCGAATAATCTCCCAGCTTCACGGTCGGAAGGTACTTTATCCGCCAGCTAAATATAAGGCATCGTTCAACATGACTCGAGGCCCAACAACGGACGGTCCTTAATCGACACTGACGGAAACTAACAAAGACCTAGAACCTCCTGAGGTTGCCTCCAACTTTTTTCGTCCGGTCTCCAATTATCCATCACACATGGTTAATTCCAGGATATCATTCTTTCCATAGCTAAATTCTTCCAGTAACCACTTATAAATGTAGGTGACCGGATATCACCGATCGCTACCGGTCTAAGCAAGGCTAAGCAGTTATTCGATCCCGACCTAATAGGGTAATAAGGTAATAAGGTAAGCAAGGATAATACTAAATGCATCAACGGTTTCAATCAACTCCTACAACTTAATGCAACAATATATAACTCATATATAGAAAGAATTGCTTTTATAAAATAGGAGACTTAAAATGCTCCGGGGCTTGCCTGGGATCCGACACAAGTCAGTTCAGTTAGCTTGCACCATCCTGGTGATATCACAGGTCCTAACACTTGCTTAGCCCTTCCACCTTCGGGATAGATCCATCAAACACTGTCTTCGGGTTCGGCTCCAACATCATGTTCTTCACGTGGTTCATCTAGCGCACCTAGATGAGATGCCAGATGCATGTGTATGAATGTGATGAATGGTAACACAAGATGCATCACATAAGCATACAAGACAAACAAGTTATTATGCAAGACATAGACACCAATAGCTATTTAACTAACATCACACCACTAACTATACAGAGCAAGCACATCAAGCATGGCACAAGTTTCCCAAGATCTTAGGTGCTCTAACTCAGTCATCATTCAAGGTATAAGTCACACTTAACAATATACAAGCAAACACTATAATTGGAATATGCCAATTTCTGGACATGCAAACAGCAGCTACAAAATTTAGCTATAACTGGAGTTACACAAATCCAAATGACTTGCAAGAAGACATTATGGAAAGCTTATGAAATTTTCTACAATTCATTTTTAATCATCTTAGCATGATTCTCAAGTTAACTAAGTCAAATATATCCATTTACAGAAACTGGTCCACAATTGACAGAAAGCAGCCATTTCTGAAACCCAACTTTAAACAGCTGTAACTCTTAAACTACTTGGCCAAATGACACCAAATTTTAATAGAAGCTAGATACATGAATTATCTACGACTTTTGTATAAACAAGTTTCACAACAAAGCACATTATCATGAAGAACTTTGCTAAGTTCCCAGATCTGTCCAAAAACCACATTTGCAAGAAAATAAATATTAACTTATGTTGCAAACACATAATTAGGCAAAACCAACTTTACCAACATTTCCCACATGACTAAAGAACACCAGAAAACCTAGTGTCCATGACCAATTAAATTCTTTTAATGCATTTCTTAATTTATTTTAGATAACAAGGTGACTTAATGAACATATATCAAAAGTATACAATAAATTCTACAAAAATTACAGTGGCTCACATATCCTATCAATAGTCTACTGTATAAATTTCACTCCATTTGAATATGTATAGCAACCTCTATGAAAAAGACAAGTTGCTAAAGCAAGAAATCATGTGAGAGCAAGATAAACCAATAACTCACTCATACTTCATCCAATACTCATGAAATTTTTACCACACATCAACTATCACATGGGTAGAATGCCACAAAAATTTTACTTCATTTGGAGCCCTAGATCTATAGTTATGAAAAATAACAAATTCAACTAGCATTACAACCTTACTGCACAAATCTATTTTTACCGCAAAATATTTAAACTAAAACATGCCATATTATAGATCTACTGCATATACAATTTCACAAGGATTCCAAAAAGTCATCATTTACTATTTTACGAATTTTCTACGATTTACTATGAATTTCCAAAGTTCCTACAAAATAATTACAAACCAGTCCTTACGGCACTATTCACATGAGTCTATGACATTGCAGATAGGACCCTCCCTTTCTTCAAATTCTTGCGCGAAGTCCTTGACGTGGATCAAAGCAGAGGAGGCCAGGGAGGCTCATGGTGCGGCTAGAGGAGGCTTGTCGTCGGCGGGGAGGATTGCGTGAGCACCGGAGTGTCCTCCCGCACCCATGTGTGCAATTCGAACTTGCTGCTGAGAGGTGGCCACGATGGCACGGCCACAAGGCGGCTTCATGTAGGGCAGCTCCCATGTGAGGAGCCGGGCGTCGGCACGGCCATGGTGGCCCAAGGATGGCTGGCCATGGAGGCGAGCGGTGGGCAGCTCGGCCAAGAACGGCATGCATGGAGCATTGCGCCTGTAAGCAAGCAAAAAGAACGAAGAGAGGGAAGCGAAAGGAGGGCAGAGCAAGTGAAGGGGAACATGCTCGGCTCTCCACATCGACGTAGGGGCATAGGGATGCGCGGCAGCAAGGTGGGGTGCTCAGCTCGGGCATGGAGGACACGTCCAGGACACGCGTCACCCAATGAGGCAAAACTCCGAACAGGTGGCGGGCATCGGTGTGGACATGGTGGGGAGCAGATTTGGGCCGTCTTGGGTGCGAATTGGACTTTGGGCCTAAAATGAAGTTTGCTCAACTCAGCCTGCTCTACGTTTTTCATTTAGAGACCAAGGTCATTAAAGCTCTTCAACAGCGGGTAATTAAGCCACAAATTCATGTCGTTGTCGCCTTGATAAGAGATAGGCCACGGAAATTCACTTTCGGAGGTCAAAACTCGGTCAAACTGGAGTGTAACTTTTTTGCATGCTCTTCTCCATAGTATAACCTTCAACTTTTATTTTTGGACCAATTCAAGTTGCTTAACGAATTTCGGAGAACGCGGAATGCCAACGTCGTTGTTTAGCTTAAACTCCAAACTTAGAATATTTCTAAGTGTTTGAAAACAACAAACAAATTCGATCTTGTGACCTCGATTTGACTTACTTTCAAGCTGATCTAACTCTTAGTCCAAAAACAAAGTTTGTTCTACATGATATGGACT